TTCGGCATTCGAAGTGCATCAATTTAATTAATTTATGTTCGCGCCGAATAAATTTATTGGGAGGAGTAAATTATTTTCGATCATTTTTTTTATTTTCAGAGTTCAAACTAAGACCTTCTTTTTCGATTAATTGAGAATAAATGAACTTCAAAAGTTGATAGGTCAGGACATTTTTCTCAATTAAAAATAAATGAACTTCAAATATATCTCAATTATTTTTCTTAGAAAAATCTCAATATTTCCTTAATTGTTAGGTCAGACATTCGACATGAAAAGTTAATCTAATCAATGGGAATGCAAGAAAGTTTGTGATGCTAAACAGAATTCCTAATTGATAAGAGAAAATCGAAAATACCCCTTATGTCAAATTGAGAGAAAAAAACATACAAAAAATTCTCATACTGAATTCGAGGTGTCATGCTATTATTACTTAATATTCATATAGCGAAATCATAGTCTTCTTTTCTCTCTTAAATAAAAACCTTATTGGCGTCAAGAGTCTCAATATTTTTAATATAAGCCTTATATACATGTTGCAATCAAACTCAACATTTTTAATATGAAATCCTATGAGTATATAGAGCCGTCAATATGGGCTTGGCTCTTTAGGCCAGCCTAGTCCAGCCCGTAATTTAGCAAGATTGGGCTAGAATTTTTGTAACTCATTTTAAAACAAAACTTTTAAGCTCGACCCAAGTAAGCTTGTGACCCCGTGAGGCTGGGCTGGACCGGCCCATGAGCCTAATAAAAATATTTATTTAAAATATAAAAGTATACTGCCTCTAGCGATGGAAAGTCATAATTTGATCTTTACTTATAGGAACCAAAGCTCGATCTTGAGAAGTTTCAAGAGAAGGATGTTGTCACGTATTGAAAGGACTATTCTAGAAAATATCCCGATCTTTCAGTGATGGCGCGTAATGAACTTAGTAGTCATATTACCCCTACAACATCGAAATCAACATTTAGCATTGATGGTGTGTTCTTACAAAGTACAGAAGTTGTATCCATCATGAAAATGTCCAAATACTTGTTACTACTCGAAATTGGCTGCATGGCTTTTCCCAAACTCAAACCGGTAATTTTTTTATGTGAATTTAAATATTAGTATTAATTTTTAAAATTTAATTATTCTTAATATTTAACTAATTAATATGGCATATGAATTCTAGATGTAGATGAAAGTGAAAATGTAAAGACAACCTTATCACAAGCGGATTCAAATGTATTTGATGAAGATGATGTGTTGGATATCCCATAAATGTAATGGACGTTCTCTTGAGTAATTTGTTTTGGGTTTTGACTTTTAGTAAATGAAATATAGTCTTGTCTTTTACTTTTTTAGTGTTTATTGTAATATATTTGAACAGTATAAAAAGTTATTAAGTTTTGCAAAATGTTTCCAATAAGATACTTTTTTACTTTTAAATAATTGTCTTTTTTTAGGTCAGAACTTAAAGAAAAAGCATAAAATTATATTTTAAAAAGGAATTTTTACATTCCTATTCCATATAGGAAATTATATTACGCTCAATGTTTAAGGTTTGATTTAATTACATTTAGTATACCTAATTATCAATTCTATACCATAATGTATTTTAACTGTACAATTAATGTACCGTTATCACTCCTTAATTAACGATACCGTATATTCCTCCAAATCCCCACCCCCCACGTTTCTCTCTCCCAACCCCCACGTTAATGAATTTGAATATGAATATCATCAAATCATCCACTTCTTCAAATAACAAGAGCACAAAACCAAGAAAGAATGGCAGCAATATAAGTAGTACTCAAAATGCACAGGAACAGCAGAACAAATGCAGATACTTAGGCGTACGGAGAAGGCCATGGGGTAGATATGCTGCGGAGATAAGAGATCCGAATACAAAAGAATTCAAGTTTGGGTTTTCAAAAATTATTATTTGTTTTGATTGGGTGTTGTTGTAAATAATTGGGAATATGTTTTGGAGTTTATATCTCAATTTTGAGGGGTTTTGGTGAAGATTTAGACTTGGTTTTGGCTGAATTTCAGATTGAAACTCGAAGAAGAAGAAGAAGAAGAAGAAGAAGAAGAAGAAGAAGAAGAAGAAGAAGAAGAAGAAGACATATTGCAAAAATTGTAGAAAAATTGTAGATTATTTTTTGCAGAAGATTTGTAGTAGTTTTAGTCGTTTTTTATTTGCGAAAACAGAAAACAAAGCATCTACAATCAGAATACAAATAATCTACAATTCATCTACAAAATATCTACAAACTGGGCATATTGAATTTTAATATCCCAATTCTCATTCGATTGTAGTTTAATTGGGATTTTCGACATAATTGCGTTTTTGCAGAAGATTTGTAGAAGTTTTAGTCTTTTTTGATTTGTGAAAATAGAAAACAAAGCATCTACAATTAGAATACAAATAATCTACAATTTATCTACAAAATATCTACAAACTGGGTACATTGAATTTTTATCTCCCAATTCCCATTCAATTGTAGCATAATTGTGATTTTTGACATAATTGCATTTTTTCAGAAGATTTGTAGAAGTTTTAGCCGTTTTTTTATTTGTGAAAACAGAAAATAAAAGCACCTACAATCAGAATATAAATAATCTACAATTTATCTATAATTTCTGCAATATGTCTTCTTCTTCTACTTCTTCGAGTTTCAATCTGAAATTCAGTCAAAACCAAGTCTAATATTCACCAAAACCCCTCAAAATTGAGATATAAACTCCAAACCATATTCCCGATTATTTTCAACAACACCCAATCCAAACAAATAATGATTTTTGAAAACCCAAATTTAAATTCAAAGCTTTCAAACTTTTTAATGGCTGTCAATGGTGGAAAATATATGGAAGAATATTTACTTCCATAATTGTAGCGCGCCTAAATAGGAATATCTGAAAGAATATTTAGTTCTAGATTTGTAGCGCGCCTAATTAGGAAGGAATCAGCTCCTAATAATTGGTATTTAATGAATGGTATATATTTTGTAGAATAACTATGAACATGGCGGGTAAATATGAAACTATGCACATTTTTTGTTATAAGGTTTCATATATGGTATAGGAAGGAAAAAGTCTCTTTTAAAAATGATGGGTCAGCTTATGGGACCCACGATCCATATAGAGCAGGGGTGGGCTGACCATTCTAAGGTCCGTCAAAATAACGAGCTAACTCGACCAGCCATATTGACAGCTCTATGAGCATATATGGAAAATTTTATTTTGTGTCTCATACAATTGACACTAGTTGTATGAGGTAACTTTTTTGTCTCACAGTTTTGTGGACCCAAATTTTCGTGGATTCAAAAGTGTAATATTGGGGTCCACAAATTTGTGAGACAAAAAAGAGTCTCATACGATCAATGTCAATTGTATCAAACACAAAATAAAACTTCTCAGCATATATGGACACTTCTTCACGTGAAGCAACGATATGTCCTTTTCCTACCAAGCTGACTTTGCGCTTAAAAAGACATACATTTATTTTGTTGTATTGTCTAAACTAGCAATAGATCCATAATTATAGGGAGTGCGATGACGGAAAAGAGAAATTAATATTAGGATAAAATGAATATATGAACATACAATCATTTGCTGCAGATAAGTGCCAAGTCGTCGTAGTTATTATTCCCTCCGGTCTATTTAAGTGATTTCTTGATCTTTTTTTATGGTTCACAATATTTTATTTTTTCACATATTAAAGAGGAATTAATTTCTTCTTTTTAAAGTTGTCCTTGGAATGAAGAGCCTACAAGTAATTTGTTATATTTTCAATAAATAAATTAAAGTTAATTTGATCAATTTCATTATTAATTAATATTAAGAGGTGAATTTTTTAATATGTGTGAAAAAGTCAAAAATCACTTAAAAGTGGACCCGAAAAAGTACTAATTAAAATAAAAACGCTTACTTCCTCCATTTAATGAATTTAAAGCAGCTAGCCTATGCCAATGTACAAAGTATAAATTGTTCAAACATGTCATATAATAATGGGATCTTTACACTAGTCCTATAATAATTAATAATTTAACTACCCCACACACATACACATTATGTCTTTCTTGTGAGTATTAAAGAAACTAGCAATCAAGACAAATTAACATAACTTTTTTGAATAATGAATCTGTCACGAGTTTCTTGTTATGAAACCAAAAGGACAAAATGTATTTAGTCATCTTGACACGAAAGATAAGTAGGAGTACTTAAGTGACCGTTTGGACACAAAATCAGTTTTATAAAATTTTCAATTTTCACTTGAAGATACATTTTGAAAATTTTCAAAATTTTGAAAAACTGCAAAAAGTTGTTTTTTCAAAATTTTCACTCAAATCACTCACAAAACTTCAAAAACAACCCAAACTGAAATTTATGTCAAAACACAACTCTAAATTTCAAATACCATTTTCACTGGAAAAACAATTTCACCATTTTTTTCGAATTTTACAATTTTTATGTCCAAACGCCTACTTAATGTCTCGAATAAGTTTCATTCAAGATAGGAAAATTTTGAACCTCTAAAATTTATCATCCTTCTTTTTTCCAGACTATATATGATTGTTCTTGATTATTTTTTCCCTCAACAATACTAACAGTTAATCCAGTATTATATTTTAATTAATCGATCGAGTATTTTTGTGATTATTCTTGGCTCAATTGAACCTTCTTTATTTATCCAACAGTGATCACAAGACAACTGTGGGATTCAAACTGTTTTAATTTTTCCATTGTGTGTACAAAATAAATGTCAAATATATCCAATTGGGTGTGTAATAGCACAATTTAATCTCAAAAAGAAAACATTGTGCCATTATTATGTCATCATCCAGGGTAAAAGGCAGCTCCGTACGCAGGTCCGTCGGTCCGAAAAAGGACCTCATTCTGATATATGTAATATAGACATATCTTGATATATATTTAATATAGACAGTCTACCTAGGATAAGCATCTGTACTGATTTCACGGCTAAAACATGAAGAGACACCAAGCAAAAAGCCAAGAATTAAAACCAGCCAGCATTTATATCTTTATGAAGACAACGGTAAACAGAACGGTACAATTAACTAAATTACACTGTATACAAAAGACAAGAAAGAGAACCACTAATCAACGATAATAAAAACGCAAATACACAAATAATATTTCGAGGACTACAGCTGGCGCACGGTTTTTAATAAAGCTTATAATTTTTTGAAAGAAGTGAGGTTCCTAAAATTTTCCCATGGCTTTTCCCATACAACAGCCAAGTACCTATTGTTGCTACGACCACCGTCGTTGGCGGAGATGACTAGCCGATAATTGGTGCCGGCGACGACTTGGGTTGCTCCCTTCTTCACTCGTTTAAAAACCAAATTAGTTTTAGCCTGTTTGTTGTACTCATTCACTGCAAATTTACCGATCTCGACCACTTGAGGGTCCTTTGTGTCAGATATAGGGCTCCAACCACCTGGTAAACCACCGCCACCCAGTGCGGCGGAGGCGTGGAAGAAGAGGGAGGCGACCACCACGGCTAAGAGTGTCACGGCGAGGATACAGTTGAATTTGAGGGCCATTTTTGTGTGTGTTTGTGAGGGAGTTTGAGAATTTAATGCAGGGAAAATGTAGGTGTGTGTAGTTATGAATATTAGTGGTGGTGTGGTTGGAGTAATTATTGAGATCTCGGCACGCGGAGAATGGACAGTGGTCACGTGACTTGCTTCCTGCATTTGCCCGTCAATTAAAAGGCAGCCCACTGCACTAAAATTTCGTTATGCGCGGGATCGGAGAACACTAAGCTCCTGCTATGCACAAAATTTGGAAATATTAAACTCCTGATATGTGTGAGGTCTGGAAACACTAAGCTCTCGCTATGTGTGGGATCCGAAAAAGGATCGAATCACAAGAATTGCAACCAAAATGCAGAGATTGCTTTTACAACTCAAACCTGTGATATCCTGATCACATTACAACAACTTTATCAGTTACACCAAAAATATTCTGATCACGTTATAACAACTTTACCGGTTCTCCTCGCATTTGTCAATTAAGTTTCTAAAAAGTTTGAATAGTCAACGGCACGTGTGTGCATGTTATGGTCACGTCCATGTTCATGTTCATGGGTGTAGTCGTTTGTTTACCACGTATTACATACTTTGCCCTAAGGGTGTCTAACGGATGGTCGGGCCGGGTTGGGTAGGGAAAATTTTAAACTGTACGGGATTGGAACTAGGCCGGTTACGGGTTAAGGGTTACAGGGCTTAACGGGTTCGGATTCATCCGGGTAAAAAATAAACCGTAAGGATTACGGATACAAGGGGTCGGACCGGGCCGGGTTAGTGTTTTTTTTTTGTATTTTGTATAACTATTGTAATTTATATTAATATAAAATAAAAATATAAGGAATACAAAAAAAATTGCATTTATAAATTGCAAGTGCTACATTTATTTCAAAATTCAAACTTACAAATTGAAAGGTTTACATTTAACAACAAGTAAATTAACAAAAAAAAGAGTAAATTCAAAGATTTTGCATTGCTTTAGACTATAAAACATTAAAAAAAATAAAAAAATAATTGAAATCTAGCCTTTAAACCGGTCCGGGCAGGGTCGGTTAACCGCTTCTACAGGGATTTTGGTTGACCGGATTTGACCGGTCCGGATAAATTAATGTGAACAGACCAACCCCCTAACCCCAGTAACCCAGCCCACCCGNCCTTTATATGTCATAATTTTTTCTAACACATCTTATTCTTTACACGCAATCGAACTATCGTAGGTGAATCATAGAAAAATTACCTACTGATTATAAAAATCTATAATTTTGCTAAAAATAATAAAAATATAAAGGATCAAATTGCCTACTCATTATTTGTACGCGAATCATGGAATACCAAAAGTTGTAGTATACTGAAGTACTCCCCGCAGGTTGTTAGAACAACACAAACAGGATGGGTCGAGTGTAGATTCAGAAAGGTGAGGATCCAAAAGCCTAAATAGGGAATTACAAATTCGCCAGTTAGTCCTGGTGTAAGGCTTCAAAGCCAGCAAACCCAGTTTGGATTCAACCAAATTTGCGAGTTACTGACCCCTGCTGATATTATATGCAATTATGCATATAAGTAAAATAAGAAAAAAAATATAATTGTATGAATGTATTCTTCATCAATAGTCAAATACTGAAAACTTTGTATAATTCGCGGCACCTCTAGTTTTCCTTCAAAAAAATTGCGTATGACTGTCTTCTTCATCTATACTCGAATACTAAAACTATAATTCTCAAAGAAGAGAACTTTGGTGACAATGCTGGGTCAATTTCCATCACTGTTGTCGATCATAGATCTGCATATAAGCCTCAGATAATGCAACCATCTGAGGCAGAGTTTCTGAAACGTGTAAGTCCTGCATTTCATACCTGCGTGGAGTATACAAATTGGGTTATTAAAATTCTTTTTGGCAAGCAAATTAACATTATCATGCTAGGAGGGCAATAATTACCAAAGTTCTTCAGCACAAATACTCTGTATGATCCTTCTTCTGGCTTGCCATCATGAATGATATTGGCAATCAGATCATACTTTGAGCGCAGTTTTCTATTCTGCCTGGGTGCAGGGAGCGGAATATAATCCTTCAGCTCTAAATTCTTCACAGGGAAGTTAGCTGCATAAAATATAAAACTTAGCAAGGCAAATGATAAAAAAAAAAAGAGAAACAACATGCATAGGTAATATTGTGCGTCTAGTCCAGAATATGGATATTCAAGTTCGAGAACTCTTTCGCGATTTACACTCTCTTTTCTTGCAGCGAGGCGGGGCATGGAAGTGTCAGGGTTGTTTGGAGAGTGCTTATTGCATTTTATAAGCACAAGGTAATTAGCTTCATGCCAGAGGTACTAGGAGAAGTGAATCGAAACAAAGCCCTTCAAACACCCTCACCCCCCCTCACCCCACCCCCCCAAACCCAAAAACATAATATACAAAAGAAAAGAATAATGAAAATGAGAAGAACTTGCTGACATACAATAGGTCCACATCAGAATCTAATCATAGCACCATCCGTTTATTTGGCAATCAAAATGAACTGTAAAAAGGAAGGTTTTTAGAAGAAAAACTCGAAGGATTATAGAGAAAAGCTCGAGTTACTGTCTGGACAATATGCACATAACTGGTTGAAACTTGAACAAATCTCAGATTTGCCTATAGAAACTATATGAATGAACACTCAAATGGATGTTCCTTCTCTTCATTCAGGCCTTTTTTTCAGTATAAGCAGATCTGTGTATTTTCGTTTTACTACCACTCTCAACCTCTAGTGTTGGCTAGGGGCACCTTAATGTTCTTTCTTCAAACAATTCAACGGGGTTTCTTGTTAAGTGCACATTCATCCAACTACAGACCCATAATCATCAACTAACAGGATGAGTATACAAAATGAATTCAACATACGATTTCCTTAGTAAAAAGATCCAAGTCTAAGATAACATCAGCAAGCACTTACCAAGGATGGGGTTCTTCTCCAAAAAGAAGTTGTTCTTGGTAAACCGGCGCATATGAAAAATTAGATATCGTGGAAGCTTTTTTATGCGAAATCTCATCCTAGCTATACGAGGGTGCACAACTTCAGTCACAGTCTCACCATCTATCTTCTTCAGTATGTTGAACAGCGGGACCTAGAAAATTTGCAATATCAACAAATCAGTACACAAAACCTATTGTCTGTTGAGAAGTGAATGCATGAACTTTTTCAAGATCATCAAAAAAGCACCCTAAAATAAGTCATACATAAACATGCCTACGTCAAAGTGAATGGGCACAGGAGGAGAAGAAAAGAATTTTGTTGAATAGTTGGATTTCCAAAAAATGATACATGACCCCCGAGGCAAAGGGCTTATGAAAATAGCCATAGAAGTTCACCAATATGGACACACTAACCTGAGGGATAATGTTTTTCTCCATAAAATCCTTAAAGAGAGGAGGTGGCGGCAAATCAAGCTCAAGCATTAGGAAAGGCACTCTGCTGGTCTCTGAAACAAAATTGCCTGCTTCACTCCCACCATCTTCCCCATTACCATTAATCTGTGAATTCCCACCACTCTCTCCTCTCAGCAATAGGCCTATTGTGCATTTCTCTCACAACCTCCAATTCACCCTAGTGGAAAAAAGGGAAATCTTCAACCTCAAAATAAAATAGAAAACAGCATTTGGAACTGCCTAAAGAAGAAAGAAGAAAACCTGAAAGCACTGGTGTATTATGTTGTTCCCTTTTTTTGAACCTCTAAGATCAGCACACAAGGTTTTAAGAAGCCATAACATAAACTCCGGAGGATCAGACTGCACATCTACACGAAAACGTTTTTCACTTGAATCCATAACAGCCTGCAAGAATTCACGTGGGCTCACCTACAGATACAGAGTCGTTAGGCGATGAATCCATGAAAAAGAAGATGAAATTTATAAGTGATAATGCAGGGATAGAACCTGTCTCTTGAAATTTCCTGCATGCCAAATCTTTTGAGTGAGCTCTCCAAATTGATGAACCAGGGGAGATTTGCAGTGCTGATAGTTTTTCAGGGATTAAAAAGAAGTTTCTAAGAGGAGTTACTCTCATCAAAGACTGAATTGTCACATTAATAAAATCAGTCTTATCCCGATGTTAAGCCCAACCTAAAATAACCAGTCCAAAAGATAAAAATCACAGCTTAAATAGACAATTTATGAAATAATAAATACACATCAAGCATGAGAAAAACAATAAAGATAAGAGAATAGACAAGTTGAAAACCGTTCCTGGAAGATAATTAGACCCATCAAGTGCCCTAGACCATTGCCTTTTTTTGTCAAGCTGTTCAACTTGCTCCAGCGTAAATCTACGAAATAATATCAAGCAAATATGGTCAGCTGATAATACTTGTCGCGAGAAAAAGAAAACCACAGTTAATTGATATTGGCATGAATCAACCAGGCAAGGATGGTGCTATTTGCGAAGCTGCCCTTCTGTTGTCTCCCACACCAAGGCAAAAAGAGATTCAACAGTCGGCGGCGCTCGGCCTTGTTACCCTTTCAGCTAAGTATCCCGTTCTAGCTTCTATATTGGCCCTTCGACTTTGGTGTAGTTTTAGTTTGTATTGGTTTAATGAACATATCAAACAATGGCGAGCAGTATAAGCCCTTCTATGGCCGGGGAAAAGCAACGAACTCTAGAAGCTAGGGCTGTTAGCAGGGAGTCTGCTAGACAGACATTATCGAATAGCACCTTTTGATGTGAGATATGAATAAGAAGCTTCGAGAAAACTTGGGATTGAGCTTGAAGGCTTTCAAGGATTGATGCCGAGACAAGATTCGAAACTAGACTTGGGTAAGGCCCTGGTGCTCGATCTTGGGTATGAGGTATGGGTCGAATCATGATAAAGAAGGTTGAGTGGTTGTATAATTCCCAAGCAGAAAGTCGTATACTTTAAAAGTAGATGGAGTGATCAAGAGGCCCTTCTTGCACCAACATACATCCAATGGCATAGAGTGATGCGTCAGTATGAACATGACTTGCATGCCTCTGCAGTCAATTTTCACCGAATTGTAGTATTTAATGTAGAAGTACTCGGAATACTGATTGTGGGATCTAAGAGAATCATTGGGATTATTTGTAAGAAAGTGACAAAAGAC